AGTGATAACAGGCACCAAGCAAGTCAGCAGAACACATTACATTAGCTCTCAAGGCTTTGAAAATAACCCTCTGTTCTCTGAGACAATTTACACAATGGCCCTGCCCTCCAGACTCTAGGTATTGGCCACAGTCTCTGGATTTTGAGTGGAGGCCCCTCGGCCCTGGGCTTCAGCTCCACCTTCCAGTCCCACTGGGACTGCAACTCTGTTCCCTTGGCTTTAGGTGCACCATTCTCCTAGTCCATCGGAGTGACAACTCCACCCTTAGAAACACCAGAGGCCATGGCTCCACCCTTTGAAACCCCTGAGGTCATGGCCATACCTTTTGAGGTTGAAGCAGCTTGGCTTCTTGTGTCCCTTGTCTCTTCAGTTTCTGCTTCCTATGGCCTCTCGGCCCTTGGGCCTCACACCCGCATCTGCCCTGCTGGGGCAAGTGTTCCAGGCTAGTAGCTCCACCGGTAAGTGCCCAGAGGCACCCCACTCCACCAGGAAGCCTTCTGCGCAGAGGTGCTCAGCTCCCTCGCTCTGTGGGTCAGCAAGCCTAGCTCCACTGATAAGTGCCCAGAGGCACCCCACTCCGCCAGGAAGCCTCCTGCTCACAGGCATTCAGCTCTCTCACTCTGGGGGTCGGCTCCAGCGCCATCTTTCACCGGTCTCCTGGTTCTGCTGCTGTTGGTTCTCTGCTGCTGCAGCTTCTCTGCTGCAGTTGGTCCTCTGTCACTGCCGCACGTCTATCCATTCACAGTTTTAAAACCGCTTCCACGTTTTAGGTATCTGTTAGAGCAGCTCCCCACTCTCTCAGTACCAAATTCTATGTTAGTCATCTAGTGCTGCTATGACAGAATACCACAAGTGGATGGTTTTAATGAAGAGAAGTTTATTTCCTCATAGTCAAAGTAGGCTAAAAGTCTAAATTCAGGGCATCAGCTCCAGGGGAAGGCCTTTTCTCTCCGTCGGCCTTCTCTTCAGTGTTCCCTCGGACTAGGAGCTTCTCTGCGCAGGGACCCCAGTCCAAAGGACGCAGTCTGCTCCCAGCACTGCTTTCTTGATGGTGTGAGGTCCCCCTCTAATTGTTGTTTTTGTAGGATTTCTAATTGTGAATTGATTTTGGCATTTTGTTCCTGTATTACTTTCCTGAATTCTTCCATTTTTTGGTCTGTATTTTCCATGAATTTGTCTGCCTTTTTGATGAGTTTGTCTATTTTTTCCTCCTTTTTGTCTGCTTTTTGCTTCAACTCTTGGATAGCTCTGAATATTAGAGATTTCAATTCTCAATCAGGTAGTTCTAGTGCCTTTTCTTTTACTGGAAAGTCATTGGTGTTTTATTTTGGAGGTGTACTGGAACCATCCTGTCCTATTTTTATTTTTTATGTTTTGACATTGTCTGCTGTCTTCAGGACATTCAGTAGTTACTTTCTTCATTTATTAATTGTAGATTTGTTTGTTTCATCCTGCTTTTTGTTTTATTTGGTTATGTCTGAGCAGGCAGGCTGTGCATTCTTTGTTGACTGCTCATTTGTGGACACGATATTTTTCACCTCCTTGTCCAGTGGGCAGGGCCAGTCGCTCAGTTATGGTGCAGCAGGGCAGGTACAGCTGAAGGGGAGGGGCTGGGATGGGTTTCTTGTGTACTGGGGCCAACAAGGTGAGCCAGGAATCAGTGCAGGGCAGGTTCTGGTAGGCTGTGCCTATGCTGCTCAGGAGTGTAATATTCAGCGTACGGTACAGATAGGCAGGAGGGGGGGGGAGGTTGTGATGTGTGGAGCTAGGCTGGTTATAGGCAAGAAGAGAGACGAGAAACAGGAGCCAAAAAAAAAAAAAAGTGCTGAGGGAGCCTGCCATTGAAGTAGAGAGATGAGAAACCAAGAAATGAAGAAAAATAAAAAATAAATAAACAAAATTTTTTTAAAAAAATGTCCCTAGGGATCTCACTGACCTAGTTGTGCAGACCAGGAGAACAGCTCCCAAGCTGGGCAGTACAGCCTGGCTAGAAGGGGTGATGATACACAGCGCCATGTATTCAGGAGACAGTAAAAGAAGGTAAGTAGAAAGAGATGAGAAACTGAGAAATGAAGAATAAAAAGGAAATAATGAGAAAACAAAAACAAAAAGCCCACAGGGATCCCACCACTGTGGCGGCACAGATTGGAGAAGCAGTTCCCCAGCTGAGCAGCACTTCACAACCTGTCAAGAAGAAGCAAAGATGGCACATGGAGTCAGGTGTTCAAGAGAAAGGAGGGAGAGGAGGTGAGAGGCAGGGAAGAAACCAAAAGAGGCCAAAAAAAGCAACACCAGCAACAAAGAAATGGCACTGAAGAAGCCAGCCAGTGTGGGCGGGGTGAATTCTCAAAGCATGGAGCCAGCACCTCCTGTGCTGCAGTCATGGCCTGCTGGGAAGCAGAAAATCAGCCCGCTGGGAAGTCTCAGATTGGCTGGCTGAGAAGCAGTGGATTGACTAGCTGGGAAGCTGCAGATTGGCCCACCCGGCAGCAGCAAAGGCTGAGCAGGGGGTGGTAGGGTGAGGGGTGGGAAAACATGTATTGCTGGTTATTGGGTGCTCTGTCTCCTGCTGGGAGCTCCGTGAATCTGCTTTCCCATACTCCCTGTCCACCCATCTCCAACAGGAGTCCAAGATGGTGGATGTGTGCTGCGTTAGCTGATAGGGGACCTCCGCTTGTAACTCTCCTCGCTCTCTGTTCTCTGTCAGTTTCTTATTCCATTCAGTGCTTAGTTGAGTTCTTTATCTCTTCATTTGACCTTTAGGTTCCAGGATTGACGTTTGTCTCTGTTTTACTTAGTTTTTCGGGTCTTTGCTGTGAGGGACGGTGTGGTGCTTCTGTCTATAGCACCATGTGCTCCTCCCATTCAACCATTTTTCACCTACAAAAACTTCGGTTTCATATGAGTCAACCTAATATATGGGTCTTCTCACTGAAATACAAATTCTTTTTTAATTCTTAGTGTCTACAATAGCCCCTTACACTGTGTAGGTGTTCAATATTAAAAAATAAATAAAGACCCTGACTATTCTTAAATTGGCAAAACACTAGATAAACTGCCATTTCAATCTGAAAATGCAATGTTAATCCATGAATACACTCACCGTAGATGATTTGGGATGTTTGTGATTCCCCTCTGCAAAAAATATTCTAATACAGCCTAAAATATAAATATCAAACTTTAAGGCACTGGAAGTTATGGGTAGATTGATTTACAAACTATTAAAGGGATTTAATAGATTCTACATTTCAGAAAGATTATTCACATAATTTTCATCAGTAAATTCTATACACACTAGAATGTATTTCATATTTATTATATAATTAGTTACACAACCCAGTTAGAAAAGAACATTATAATATTGCACTTTATACAACTATATAGATTCCACCATCCTTTTCCCTTATTGTGGTTTTAATTCTAAACATAATTACACTAATAACCATGAGATTACTGAAACTCATAAGTCTGAGTTAAAGAAAATTCTAGTGAGAAAGTGCATATTTTTAAAGCCAAGAGACTTGTAAGTTATCTGATATCAAATGTTGCTTTCCAAAAAAAAAAACAAAACAAAACTCAAAACAATCAAAATAGCATGATGATTATTGAACAGAGTTTATTATTCTAAGGACAGAATGCAACTACAACTATGGAGAAACAGAACTGGACAGCCTGCTCCTTTGAGTACATCCATATTGGTAGGCTCAGAATTATTTACAGAAACAAATTAGCATTTCTTCTCCTTGCTGTGATTCTTGGATGGATCTGTGAAGTCCAGATTTCTTTTTCAATGATTCCATTTCTTAGAAGGAGCCCTATTTTTCTCCACTGATGAGTCATGTCTTTAGAACATAACTTAATCCCAAATAAACAGGCTCACAAGACTATACGGGACAAATGTCCTACCTAATGTGTCCTATTATAATGCCACCAAATGCCTTCACAGTACAATTATTAACAGTTGCAGTATTTAAAACTAAGCAGTCATTAAGTTTCCTTATCTCCATGCTAGAGTACATCTAAGATGTAAACATTCTAGACTCACTGCATTTATGTTTCATAATGAGTCTTTCATTCATGTAATATCAGAATGAAACCAGGTAAACATTTATTTTAGGGAAACAATTGAATGAGCTTCATATTACTTGATATGGATTTGCCATTTCATTAAAAATAAACTGTATAACTTTTCCTACATAGAACTTTATCTATGTTGCAGGAGCCTTGATAAATAAAATTTAGTGCCAAAAAATCTTAGTGGCTGAAACATGGGAGGAAGTCAAATTTCTTCAATTGGTAGAAAGTAAGGAAGCCCACCTTCAACCCCCAAGCCCTTAACAGTCTCGAGATAGCCTTAGAGGACATTTTAAAAAGTGAGACTTTCTCTTCAAAGATCTTCTTCCTTTATGGTCCCAAAGATACAGTCATCTTCAGCTACCTTAATGGAAATCTTGCTTTTTCTTAGTAGAAAATTAGAATAGTTTTTCCACTGCAAAGTAAACACAGAGAGGTCAGAATGTAAATGAGAGGAGATAATTTCCGTAATGACAATAACAAAGAAAATTTAGGAAGTTAAAACAATATTAAAAGGGCAAAGGAAAGGTTATATTTGTTTAAATGGTTATTTTAAGTGGTTTTATCCAACAGAAGCTTTATTTTGGGGTAGTTGTGCATCTGTTGGAGTCCTTGGGTGATGCAATAGGTTAACACACTCACGTGCTAACTGAAAAAGTGGAAATTCAAGTCTGCTCCTAGGCACCTTGGAAGAAAAGCCTGGTGATCTACTTCCAAAAAATCAGCCATTGAAAACCCTATGCAACACAGTTCTGCTCTGACACACGGGGTGGCCATGAGTTGTAACTGATTCAGTGGCAACTGGTACTTCTGTTAGGGCTGAGGAGAGCACCACCTGCTGGTATGATGAGATAGATATGTTCGGAGCATCTTTCCAGGCCCTGGGATGCCATCCAGGTAATACTTGAACTCTGCCTGTCTTGTCTCTTTCCTCTCTCTTAAAGCTGTGTGACATTCAATTTTTAATTTCACCCAAAATTTTTAGTGCACCTCCACAAAAAAACCACACGTTTAAAAGCATTATTCTTATTCCAAAACATATGAAGAGGTTATGGTTGCCATAAACTTTCAGTGAGTAAACAGTTGGCCTTCAGCATTTACATACGTTCCAAAGACAGGGACAGGAGAGTAGGCTTCAGCCCTGGTAGGGGAAAAAAAATGTGGGTCATCTCAATGGCTAAAAAAATTTTTTTTTCTACAAGGGATTTTTCTTAATAGAGGCCCATGGCAGAGTGGTTAAAGGAATGGACTCTGGAGCCAGATTGACTGGGTTCACATCCTGGCTTGGCCATTTACAAGCTATGTGGCCTTGGGCAAGTTACTTAAACTTTCTGTTTTTCAGTTTCTTCAGCTATAACCCAAAATCAAACCCGTTGCTGTTGAGTCAATTCCGACTCATAGCTACCCTATAGGACAGAGTAGAACTGCCGCATAGAGTTTCCAAGGCTGTAAATCTTTACAAAAGCAGAGTGCCACATCTTTCTCCCTTGGAGCAGTGGGTGGATTTGAACTATCAACCTTTCAGTTAGGAGCCAAGCGTCACCAGGGCTCCTTTCTTCAGCTATAAATCAAGGATAATGATAGTCTTTGGTTTGTTATGAGGAGTAAATGAGTTATACATAAAAAGTACCTATAACAGTGCCTGGCTCAGGGTAAGGTTTGCTAAATAAATAAATTGGAATTCAATATAGTTGGACACCAGGCCTACTTCTGAAATGCCAGTCTTATTCAAACCATGAGGTAGGCTTCCCTGTTTCAGAGCTGCTGCTCACCCAAGTGGGTAGCTGAATTAGCATCCATGTTGACCTCAGCTGTGTTGCCTGTTGCTCTAGGACAGTGGTTCTCAAACTTGAGCAGGCTCAGACTCACCTGGAAGGCTTGCTGAACACAGATTGCTGGGCCCCACCCCCAGAGTTTCTGTTCCAGTGGGTTTGGGGTGGGGCCTGAGAATTTGCATTTCTAATAGTTCTAATGGGAGCCCTGATGGCTTAGTGGTTAAGAGCTCAGCTGGCAGCTCCTTGGAAACCCTATGGGTCAGTTCTACTCTGGCCTATAGGGTCGCTATGATTTGGAACCGACCCGATGGCACCTAACAACAACAATAGATCCCAAGAATCGATGCCTTTGAATTACAGTGTTGGTGAAGAATATTGAATATACCACGGAGTGACAGAAAAACGAACAAATATGTCTTGGAAGAAGTACAGCCAGAATGCTCCTTAGAGAATGGAGAGACTTTGTCTTACATACTTTGGACATGTTATCAGGAAGGACCAGTCCCTGGAGAAGGACATCATGCTTGGTAAAGTACAGGGTCAGCAAAAAAGAGGAAGACCCTCAATGTGATGGACTGACACCGTGGCTGCAACAATGGGCTCAAACATAACGACTGTGAGGATGGTGCAGGACTGGACACTGTTTTGTTCTGTTGTACGTAGGATGGCTGTGAGTGGGAACCGACTCGATGGCACCTAACGACAACAACAAATAAGTTCCCAGAGGAGGCTGACGCTGCTGGTTTAGGGGCCACACTTTTAGAACCACTATTCCTAGGATAATAGTTCCAATCCTTGCTGCACATAGAACCATATGGGGAACTTTAAAAAATTCCATTGTCCAGTCACCCCAGACCAATTACCAGAGAATCTCTGAGGTGGGACCCGATCATCATTACTTTTTAGAGCTTCCCAGGTGACTCTAAAGTGCAGCCAAAGTTGAGAACCATAGCTCTGTGTTGTCAGTGTGCTGCTGAAATGTGTACACGTTTAAAGATGGAGTGATTACCACCTACACTTTACAGATGAAGAAACTGACGCTTGGTGCAGTGTTCTCAGTAAGGTGCGCCTTAGAAATGTGGATTTTCAAAGCCCCAACCCCAGAGCTACTGAATCAGTCTTTTTATTAAAATCCAGGTATCTGCATTTTAATAAGCACCTCAGGAGTCCCTTCCATACTTTTAGGTTTCTGATCTGCCTGGAGACACACAGCCCATAAGTTGTGGAGTTTCTGTCTTGTCTCTGACCTAGCCAGCCAGAAATGCTGTAATTATGAAACAGAGAAAGCTTTGCATTTAATGTTTTTTTCTGAGCTTGTTCACTAAAGACATATTTACTAAGGACCTTAAGTACACACCAGACCCTGTGATGGGAGCTGGGTCAGTGATAAAATCTATTCAAATGCTACTTAGAGGGTCACCTGTATTTTGTTCACCTACACTAGGATTTGAACTTAGAAAAGACAAATTAGAAAAAGTGGTTAAGGACACTGCTCTGGAGTCAAGACTGCCTGTGCTCTTCAACCAGTGATTACTGTGCAACCTTGGGCAAGTCACTTAATCTCTCTGTGTCCCAGTTTCCTCAACTTATTTACAGGTTGTTTACAGCAGCTGAAGATAACCAGTTGCTGTTGAGTCAACTCCAACTCATGGTGACCCCATGTGTGTGAGAGTAAAACTGCTCCACAGGGTTTTCAATGGCTGATTCTTTGCAGGTAGATCACCAGGCCTTTCTTCCAAGGTGCCTCTGGGTGGACTCGAACTTCCAACCTTTCAGTTAGCAGCCCAGCCAGTTAACTGTTTGCACTATTCAGGGATAAATGAGCTAATTTAATAAGTTAACAAGTTAAAGGAGGATAAATGAGTTAGTTCAATATAAAAGTTAGTTCAATATATAACAGTGCCTGGCACATAGTAAGTGCCCAATAATGTTTTCACATGGGTTCAGTGCAACTGGTTTGTTTTTTGTTTTTTGTTTTTGGCAACTAGTATTTGACAACTGGAAACTTGTTTTCTGTTATAATTTTTACTTTTATAGTCATCTGCACAGCAAACCTAAATGCTCAAAAAAAGGATTTTATAAACTTAAAAGTTGTTTTATGCAGAGTATACTGCCGAAAATCCAAAAAACTAAAACATACAAACTGGAAAGAGGATTTTTCCAAAAAAATGCATGGGATATGGAAGAAAATCACTAAAGGATTCGAGCTCTTCTTGGAAATTTTCTACACAAAAATTCAGGAAAGCGTTTCTCCTATCCCTACTGGATGCAACAATAAAAATAATATACTTCTGTGATGGCCCTCCAATTGGCCCAACCCACATGGAGGAGCTTCTGAGAAACAGAATTCTGGCATTTTCTTGGAAGTAGAATGGCTTTGGTTACTTAGAGGGGAAAAAAGACAGATTCATCAAAGTACAACTGGGTCTCCAAGGCTGTAAATCTTTATGGAAGCAGACTGCCATGTCTTTCTCCTGAGGAGTGGCTGGTGGGTTCGAACAGCAGCTGAGTGCTTTAACTACTGCACCACCAGGACCCCTTCATCAAAATTACAACTCTTCAATTACATAATTTTACTCACAGACCTGACTTTGTTGAATGTGGTTTCTTTTACTTTTGCCTTGTTCTGGAACTTCAATCTGCTAAATAGATTAGTAAAATGTCAGCCAGGAGAAGCAAGCACACAAATAATCTATTTAACTAGCACATTTCCCCTTCCCCTCAATGGTCTTGAAGGCTGCCAGTCAGTGGGGCACCTGCATGTCATCTGCCACTCCCCCTTAATTTGCAAGTATCCAAATGTTCCAAAAATCGAGTCTCCAAAAGTTAAGTGAAGCTTAATATTTAATATTGGTTGTTGCCTATGTGATTCAGCACAGCTTTAAAAAGGACTTTGCACGAAATTAAATGTACTTACAAATCCTGAAATAATCCACAGAGCTTCAATCCATATGCTGAATCAAAGCCAAATGGGGCTTTGATTAATCAAAGGGCACTGTTAATCAAATGAATCAAACTGAAGTTCAAGACACTTGAATATACCTCATATACATAAGGTAAACCTAGTAGAACAGCCAGGGTCCCAGCAGGAAACAGATGGTGCACTCATAAGGGATAATTGAGGAGATTTTTTAAAAAAGAACTATTTAACTATTTAATGGAGGTGTGGGCGGGGTTAAGGGGAACCAAAGAAGGGCTGTTGGAGCTCCCAGGGACTAGTAACAAGGGAGTAAAGGAACATAGGAGGAGTTCTTACACCTCTAGGCCTGACAGAGTCCCTGGGTGATGCAAATGATTGATGTACTCTGCTGCTAACCCAAAGGTTGGCAGTTAGAGTCCACTCAGAGATGCCCTGGAAGAAAGGTCTGGCAATCTACTTATGAAATATCAAGCCATTGAAAACCCTATGGAGCACGGTTCTACTCTAACACACATTGGGTTGTCATGAGTCAGAGTCAACTTGACAGGCAACTGTCCCCTCCCCCCCACAGGCCTGATGCCATAGGGGGAGGAGCTATTATTGGATCCTGAAAGAGTAGCTACAGCTAAATGGAGAGGCTGCCTGCCAGGAGCTATGGCCCTCAGTAGAAGGACCTGCCAACCACATAGGCCCAGCAGGGATGGAGTTGGAGAAATAAATACCCTAGTCTTGCCTTTCTCCCACCCTTCAATCTCCTACTGGGTTTCCCATTGGATGAACCCAATCAGAGGCCAGAAAGCAAAGCTGTGGTACACAAAGGCCAGCCTCCTGGGGCACAGAGCAGGGTGGAACAGAGTAAAGATGGATCTGGACAGGCAGACGAAGACTGTCTGGCACACTTAGTAAATGTGACCTAACCAAGGCTTGGGGGAAAGAGTTCTTAGATTTTTCTTACTAAAAAAAGAAAAGGGTTATACTATTAACCAACTATGTTTAATATAATATAATGTGCACATATCAAACACGGGATAGAGCTTATCACTCTATAACTGTAAATTCTCTTTATAACTGCCTTTCTCGTCTAACAAATAAGCTCCTTGACACTGAATCCTCAGTTCCTAGCCTTTGCATAATAAATATACCCCACTACCCGTTGCTGTCGAATCAATTCTTTTTTTTTTTAATTGAGTTTTTGGTGACATTTTACACAGCAATTCAGGTTCCCATTTGACATTTTCCACACAAATTGTTCATTGACATTCGTTACATTTATCACAATTTGTCAGCATTCTCTTTAATTGTGTCTATATCCATCCATATGTGCTCAAACGCTCATTTTTACTTTGGTTGTGCTGTGCTCACTACATCCACATTCAGTGTCACTTTTCCCATAACCACAGATAACAAGTCTCTAAGGTCTAAAGCATACTTTCCCCTTTCCCCTCTCCCTGGTAACCACCAATGAATATTGGTCTCTCTAAATTTATCTGTTCTTGTCTTCTTATAAAAGAGGGATCATACAATATTTGTCCATGTATGCTTGACTTTTCGTTGAGTTGATTCCGACTCATAGTCACCCTATAAGACAGAGTAGAACTGGCCCATAGAGTTTCCAAGGCTGTAAATCTTTATGGAAGCAGATTGTCACATCTTTCTCTGGAAGAGGAACTGGTGAGTTCAAACCACTGATCTTTCCATTAGTAGCCGAGCGCTCAACCAAGGCTCCTTGAATAATAAATATAGGCATTCATAAATGATAGAAGGAAGGGGTAAATTAATGAAGTAATTATTATTGCTTATTATTCATGAGGAAATATAGAGTGGACATTTCAAAATAAGTGGGATAAATAATAAAATGGTACTACAAAAGAGCAATTGATTCTTGACTATGGTTAATTTTGTTATAAAATACATTGCTTTAAGGACCAATGCATAGGACTTCCTTTAGGTTAGTATTCTTAATGGAAATCCATTCATATATGTAAAGCTATCTCAATAACCTGTTTAAAAGATTAGTTATTCAGTCTCAGCTATTGAGAAATTAATGCTCCAATGTCTCAGGTGTTTTGCTATTATTTTTTTTTACAATATTACATTATAATTTGTAAGACACTTCTTTTGTCTTATTTTGTTTTCTGTTATATGTATGCAGCCAAACCTAATCCTAACTAATATATTTATTTTCAAATAAAATAATCCTTATAATTCTTCTCTAAATTAAAAATAGCGAATATTAATAAAATTGATTTAGGTTTTTGTATATGAGTATTTAGGCTTTTATGTAGGAGTGTAACTTTCAGAACGCTACACTTGATTTTTGTCTTCCTTCTGTTTTGTGGCTAATATTGCCTTTAAGAATTTAACATGATTTTTGTTGTGTTGTGTGTTTACATTTTTCTTTTATGGATTGGTTTGACTTCAAATTTTAATGATCTCTTCATAAATGGTTCAAGTCTTCCCTTTGAAAGCATTGCCTTAAGCTAGCTGAGCTGGTTAAGTTAGCACTATATTTCTTTCCTTCTTCATTCTTGTTAAGATAAAACCAGTACTATTTAATCTGCTTCTAGGGGTCATCCACTTTATTTATGAGACTTGTTTTGTTACCATTTCCTCCATTTCTCCCCACTCCCCCCACCCCGGATTCTTCATATTTGTAAAAATCTTGGAATCAGAGCCTGCCTTGTAAAACAGACTTCTGTGTCATAGTCCATACACACCTTCTATAAGTGATATGTGTTAGTTCAGGCTTTGTTTGTTTACCTAAAAACCACCGAGTGATGCTGCCACACATTTATATTGTTCCTTTAAGAGCCACAAAATGCCATGTTCTAGTCAACTGTAGTTTGTGTGGCGGCCCAGAACCCAGTATGAGTTCAAACAGCTGATTACCAGTCTGTTCTCTTCCAAGCACCCATTCTATCCAGGGATTTGTAGATGAAATTGCAGATTGAAATGTGGACTATCCCTATAACATCAAAAAACACTGAAAGTCTGATTTTCAAGAGGAAGGGTCTTAACTTTTCTTTCCAAGAACCAAAATAAGTAAGGAAATAAAATTTGTGGAAATAAAACTTTGTGAGTATTTGGATAAAGTAATGCAAGCATTGACTAATATGTTGATTTTGCCATCAGCCACAGGGATAAATTATAGATTTTAACTTGTGTGCAGATCTGAGGAGTGTATTTAGTGTGGTTGTTTTTCCTGAAAACTTTAAATAGATCACCACACTCTCCACTCTGTTGAGAAAACTCTTTACTATTCATTGTACAAGTATTTCCTGCATCAAGTAGCTTACATGTTATTCATCCACATGGGAGAGCACTTCTGCCTTTTAATGAGGCTCCTTCAGTTAATTGCTTTTCTTTTCTCTTTATACTTCTTATTCTTTTAAATATATAGTGATCAGAACCTAAGCGGGGATCCATCCTACATAAGAAGTTGGATTTTTATTACTCTTTTAAAACGAGCCTCCTTGATTCCTTTATTCCTTTGATTTGCTACTCTCTAGTACATTTTGAGGAGTCCTACTGGTGCAGTGGTTAAGAGCTTGGCTGCTAATCAAAAGCGTGGCAGTTAGAATCCACTAGCCACTCCTTGGAAACCCTATGGGGCAGTTCTACTCTGTCCTATAGGGTCACTATGAGTTGGAATCGACTCCACGGCAACGGGTTTCGTTTTGGGGTTTGGTAGTACATTTTGAACTGTTCAAACAGCAAGAGGCAGTGAACTTCATTTTCCCTGAAAAAAAAAAAAAAAAAAAAAATCTTCCATTCTAAAAGACAAAAAAGTATAAGAAGTAACTATTCCCTTAGAAAAAAGCTGTAGAGCCAAGTACAAACAGATCAGTGTGAAACAAAAGATGTCATCTAACTAAATTTAAATTAATACTTTAGGAAGATTTTCCAAATGTTTTATGTTGTACTTTAAAAAGATATTTTTTAAAGACCAGTGTAATATTTTGCAAAAGAATTATGCTTACAAATGTCAAGCAGGCATTTGCATTTGTAATCATTTTTTTAAAAATCAAGCCATACTATTTTATTTGGAACATGCTTATACCATGATGATAAGGCAAGTAGAAGAGGAAATCTCAATAATTGTTTTATAGACGACCATTGCTCATTTCAATGAATTACTAGAACTTTACTGAATAGATGTAGACCAGAAAAGCAAAGTTTAATTTTACATTAAGAAAAAATTACAGCCTTGAAGTTTTTTTTCACTTGATTGGTTTCCCCAACTGCCAATGGCATTTTAATTTGGCACAATGGAAATATCAAGAGGTTATGGGTTCTTTCTAGAGGCAAAACTCAGAGCTTGTTTAAGACCATCCCTGCTACGTTAAAGACCTCCTTGATTCTGCCTTTATGATGTAGTTTTTATGGTAAATCAGAAAGCCTCTATTTGGAGGAAAGTAGAAATAAAAGGACACACAGTACAGGGTTAAAGTTCTCAGCATTCCAAAGATGACTTCCTGTTGGAAAAATGGCTTGAATTCTAAAGATAGGCTTCCTTCCGCCATGCCCTTTGGACACACGGAGCTCCTTACCAATCCCCAGAGGAAAGATCAGCTCACTTGGGTGCCCTTTGGATTCCTCCCTCGAGGACCAGATTTGCTGGCCCAGGGAATTCGTCAGTGTAATTTGGTCTCCAAATGTCAGCTGATAGTGGGAACTTCCAAGTGAAAAACATACACAGATAGGAGCACTTACCATTTCTGGATTCTCTGCAGCTAGCTTTACCATCTTTTCTGAGATCATCTTTTTCAAGCAGCTACTCAGCAAAAAAGCCTAAGAAATCCAGAAACAAACAGCCCTCTCAACTGAAGATATCGTCATTCTCTTCCTTCCCTCCTCCCACCACAAAGCAGATTTTGAGCTCTGCCCTCCAACACTATGCTTTCAAGAATTTAGATTTCTTCTGTAATTTCCAGAAATTTGCATAAGATGTAATTAGCAAGTAACCATACATTTTCTCAATTACATAGGTAGATTTACAGAAAATTTTTAAAACACATATGAAAAATGATCAGGATTTTAGTACTAATCATTTTCCCTCCTAAGACTTCCCCTTCCCGTCCATTTTCTCTATTATTTATAAGCAGCAGATCACATTACATAAGTAACAAATAACAAAAACTGCTTATTATTGTAATCAACTAAAATGATAACAATCTTATATTTAATTGTATACATAATTATTGAGAGACCTATTGTTAGGCATAAATAGTAATCTGTCTGTTTGAAAGAATGTATTAGTACCTTACTGCTTTTATTGAACTAAAAAAAAAAAACACTTTTTTCTTCACTCTCTTATTTTTCCAGTATTTTCAGTCACTCCCTTTTAAGACTGATGGCTGTCCCTGATATCACCTGTGGTTTAATTATTGTTATTATTTTTACAACACACACAGTTACACAGAACAAAAGCTGGGGCTTCCTTGTTCCAAGATCTCCACCGCTATGTATCAAATTTAAGGTTCCCTATGATTTTCCCATTTCTCCATTCCCATTAATCCTTTTCCTCCCTTTTCTTGCTCTCAGTTCTTGGGTGGCTGTTTTCTCTTCCTGCGCTACTGAGGTTTGAGACCACTGAAGGTCAAGGCTTGAAACTATAGGACTAAAGGTTGTGTGTTCAGGGATGGTCTCTGTGCTGGGGGGAAATGGAGAGGAAGGGAAGGAGGAGAGACAGAGAAAACCCAGGCTGGGGTGGTAGCCAAAGGGGTGGGGCATAAAAAGCAGAATTACAGGGAGAATAGGAAGCTCACAAGTAACATCTCAAAGTTGCGCAGGGCTGTAGAGCATGATAGGAATTAATTTTATTTAAGGGAAGGGAAAGGAGGGAAGAGAGAAGGAGGGGGCTGCCACCAATAAAGAAAAGAGTAACAGATGCAGGGTTTATATGCAATGGTGAAATTTGACATCCTCCTAGTTTTGCTGAGAATTAGTCCTGTTTATCCATGCATGCATGTAAAGTACACAAAACCAGTGTATGAAATAGTTAAACATCAAATCCTAAACTGAGAGACTGAAGAACCCCTGTATCTATTGACTAGAAACAACTTCTAAGCCTTGAACCAAAACTGTCCCACGAAGTCATCTTTAAATTAAACAACAGTTTAGCTCATTTAATAAAAATGTCCACCTTGAGCATTGTGCTCTTTTGAAGAATTGCCTATATGAGAGTAAATGGACCACAGTAACTCTAAAACACAGATGAGAACTTTAATGGGTGGAGAGTCTAAGTTAACGGTGGTGAAACAATGTGGGCGGAGACAGGGAGAATGGTGATGCCATGTGAAGTATGTAACCATTGTCAATGAGCTGTACATGTAAATGTTGTTGAATGGGTGTATTTTTTTTTCTGTATTTTCAGCAACAAAAAAATTTAACTATCACCTTCCCCCAAAAAACAAGCAAACAAAACCCCCTAAGCTGATGCAGTTAAGAAGGATGTTTAATAGTGCTCCACAAGATGTGATTCCATATTCCTGTACAATGTACTAAATATGTAGGCTAAGGCTCTGCTATAAAGCAGGTAAAGATTATTAAATATAAAGGGACTAAGCTTTTGTTTAAAGAGCCTAAAAAAGATTTGGGCCCAAGCCCTCATTTATATTTGCAGGGCACACCAGCCACATTTCTGCCTTTTGCAGAAGTAGCCCTTGGGTGCACATCAATAAACCCATACTCCAGAGGAAATAAGACCTTCCGAGGAACCCTTTAAAAGAATGTTTATTGCACCTGTCCATACTGGCTTAAACTCATTTGCTACCGACTAGATTAAAAGACCACAATAAAATTTAACTACTGCACTTAGCATTCTGGGGAGGTGGTTTCATTGCCAAAATCCCAACATCTCTCCAAAGGAAAAAAAAAAAAAAACAAACACACTGCCATCGAGTCAATTCTGACTCATAGCAACCCTACAGGATAGAGTAGAACTGCCCCATAGGGTTTCCAAGGCTGTAAATCTTTATGGAAACAGACTTCCACATCTTTCTCCTGAGGAGCAGCTGGTGGGTTCAAACCACCAACCTTCTGGTTAGCAGCCAAGGGCTTTAACCACTGCCCCACCAGGGCTCCTTTTACATCTCTCCAAGTAACCACAAAAATTGCCTCAGCAAACCATCCTACCACTTCCCTAAGGGTGTTTCATACTTAAGGTGATCCTGAGGACCTATTTCTTTAACCTAGGATTTTGGTTTAGTATTTTGTGCTTTTCAGAGAACCTTGATATCTGTTATCTCATGACCACAAATATACTAGACGTGGAGAGTTGAAAGGGGCTTTGGGTCCCTAAAACCAGAATATTCCTTGGAATTTTGTGTGGGGACTCAAATTGAATATAATGTTGATGCAAAGATTACTTCGATATTTTGATTCTGCTTTAGAACATTTGTAGGTTTGATTCCAATTTGAAATAATTTCAGTTAGTTGAATAAGTATAATTTTTCAATGGGATTTGATATTTAGCAAATTAATTTTTTTTAAAGGATTCTTATCCCAACTTTAATTACAAGTCTGTGGCAGACACTGATAGTTAGCTACCCAATAGCCTTGCCCTCTTCTTCCTCGCTAACCAAACCAAACCAAACCCATTGCCATCGAGTCGATTCTGACTCATAGCAACCCTATAGGACAGAGTAGAACTGCCTCATAGGGATTCCAAGGAGCAGCTGGTGGATTCAAACAGCCAACCTTTTTGGTTAGCTGCTGTAGCTCGCTATAGCTGTTCACCACTGTGCCACCAGGCCTCCTCCTTGCTAACAGAACCCTGATTTTATTTGAGATGACAAAGTGCCAAGCCCCAGTCAATGGATTGTGCTTATTCTAAGCTGATCATGAGGCCTGTTCCTCTTTGCTAGATCCTTGATTCCCAGACTCCCTTGCAACTGGGAGTGGTCATGTGACCTAGTTCTGCCCAATGAGACATAACAGAAAGTCTTCTAGGAGGCTTCTGGGAGAAAGCTTTTTGTTTTCCAGATAAAAGGGATAGCTTTTATCTGCTTGGAAAGGCCAAGAGAATGATAGAGATGCCAATCATCTACCTCCAGTATTCTTATTAAACGAGATAATAGAAATCTAAACCAGGGGTCAGCAAAATACAGCCTGTGAACCAAATCCAGCCCACCACCTATTTTTGTAACTGATGTTTTTTTGGAACACAGCTATATCCATTTGTTTATGTATTGTCCATGGCTGCTTTTGTGCTACAGTCAGAGTTGAGTAGTTGCCACAGAGACAATATGGCCCACGAAACCTAAAATATGTACCATTTGGCTTGGTTTAAATCATAGTTAGTTGGGTCATCTGTTATTGGTAACTACATAAATTCCTTTCTAACTGATACGAAGGTCATGGTGACTAGTAAAATAAAAAAAACAAACAAAATAAAGGGTATTAAGGCCAAAAAGATTGTGCATAGCACACTCTAGTATTCTGCTCTGGTTGGATTGAGGCAATGTGCTTTGTCCACCCTAGCAAGCAAGAGAGTATTTCAGCACAGAAGTTTTTCATGCTCTGCCCTGGGAACTCACCTGTCTGGTGTAAATAACAAACCACTGCCAGCAACTGTCCTCACTGTACTGAAATCTGAGCTCTAAGTTCTGGTTGAGAGTTTGCTGGGGCCCATCCATATCCAGTAGAGTCCCCTGCAGAGGAAAAGATCCTATTAGACATTGTCATGGATTGAATTATGTTCCCCCAAAAATGTGTTAACTCAGTTAGGCCATGATTCCCAGTATTGTGTGCTTGTCCTCCATTTTGTGATTGTAATTTTATGTTAAAGAGGATTAGGGTGGGATTGTAACACTCTTACTAAGGTCACATCCCTGATAACAATGTAAAGGGAGTTTCCCTGGTGTGGGGCCTGCACCACCTTTTATCTTACAGGAGGCAAAAGGAAAGGGAAGCAAGCAGAGAATGGGGACATCATACTACCAAGAAAGCAATGCTGGGAGCAGAGCCCATCCTTTGGACCTGAGGTTCCTGCTCTGAGATGCTCCCAGACCAAGGAAGACTGATGACAAGGACCTTCCTCCAGAGCCGACAGAGAGAGAAAGCCTTCCCCTGGAGGTGATGCCCTGAATTTGGACTTGTAGCCTACTGGACGGTAAGAGAATAAATACCTCTTCGTTAAAGCCATCCACTTGTGGTATTTTTGTTAGAGCAGCACTAGATGACTAAGATGTTCAATAGAAATTTAAGTGCCTATTATGTCCTGAAGGAGCCCTGGTGAAGCAGTGGTTAACCACTCAGCTGCTAACCTAAAGGTTGGCAGTTCGAAGCCACCAGCCGCTGCCCGGGAGAAAAGACCTGGTGATCTGCATAAAGATTACAGCCCAGGAAACCCTATGGGGCAGTTCAACTCTGTCACATGGGGTCACTATGAGGCAAAGTTGACTCAACGGCACACAACAACATTATGTCCTGGGCAAAATATCATAACAAATGACATGTCCTGGTTCCTAAGGGGCTACTAGTATATTGAGGAATCATGAAATAAATCACCACAATTTGATATGATAAATCTTATAAAGAAAGCAAACACAGGTCTATAGAAGCAAATAGAATAGGCATGTATCCCAGACTGGGAGGGTAAAGGATGGCTTCCTGGAGGGAAGGGCGTCTGAGCAGAAGTAGAGGCTCTCTAAGTTTGCTGTTGTGGCTTTGGCTTTTTTTGGTGGGGTTGGGGGAGAGTAGAGATGATTCCTGATAGAAGAGAAAGCAAGTGCAAATGCACTGAGGCATGAAGGAGCCTGGCCTACTGGGGACACTGCAAGGGATCGAGTGTGGCTACTGCACAGGCTCCAAGGCATGGGATGTGGTGGGAGAAGGGGCTTAAACAGGTAGGGTATTAAAACACAATTCTGTGTCCAAGAAGATGGAGCAGATGTTTGTTTCCTTATTCCTCCCACTAAGTACAACTAAAAACCCTGGACATTATATATAAAACAAATATAAGCCTCTGAATCTATAATTATCTCAAAATAAAACACTTAATTAAAAATAATTAACTATTTAAATAAAAAATAATTATAAGGTAGTATGAGGTTTATAATATGCATAGAGTTAAAGTATGGCAAAAATATCATAAAGGACAGAAAAGGGAAATAGAAGAATATACGGTTGTGAAGTTTTTATACTGTTCGTGAGGTGGTCTAATATTTGAGAGGAGACTATAATAAGCTAAAGATGTATATTGGAAACTCTAAAGTAACCATTAAAAAAAGTAAATAAAAGAGGTATGGCTAACAAACCAATAGTGCAAATGAATGGAATCATAAAAAATACCCAGTTAATCAAAAGAAGGCAGGAAAAGAGGAAAGAAAGGAACAAAGAACAGATGGGACAAATTGAAAACAAATAGCAAGATGGTAGATTGAAACCCAAACATATATATATTTAATTAAATATAAATATTAAATACTCCAATTAAAAAGTAAAAATGTCAAATTTGATTACAAAAAAAATCAGGACCCAACTATATGTTGTTCTCAAGAGCCTCATTTAAAAACATAAAAATACAGAGAGGTTAAAATTAAAATGAAAGAAAAAGATATACCATGCAAATACTAATCAAAAGAAAGTTGGAGTGGCTATATTAATTTCAGGCAATGTAGATTTCCAGATAAGAAATATTACCAGGAATAAAGAGAGACATTATGTAATAATGGAGTCAATTCACCAAGAAGATATAATAATCTGAAGTATGTATGCACCTAATAACTGCATTTCAAAATATATGAAGCAAAAATTGAAAAAAACTGGAAAAAGAAATAGACAAATCCACAATTATATTTGGGGCTTTTCATACTTCTCTCAGTAACTGATAGAACAAGTAGGAAATATATAAAGACATAGAAGACTTGTACAATACTATCAACCACTTGCCCTAACTGACATTTATACACTATTCCACCCAATAGCAGAAGAATACATATTTGAGTGCACATGGAATATTGATCAAGACTGACCATACTCCTGGCCATATTCCATAAATTTAAAAGAACTGAAATTATACAAGTATGTCCTCTGATCCCCAAGGGGGACAGAGGCAGGGAGAAGGCTGTTAGATTCATCCAGGCAGAGAATGCTGAGACCACCAAAGTTGTGAAGATGGAGAGAAGGAGCATCATTAAGGAGTAGCAAGGTAGTAAAATGGATAGAATGAGGCCCTGGTGGTACAGTGGTTAAGCACACAGCTGCTAACTGGAAGGTCAGTGGTTTGAACCCACCAGCCGCTCTATGGGAGAAAGATGTGGCAGTCTGATTCTGTAAGGATTTACAGCCTTGGAAACTCTATTGGCAGTTCTACTCTGTCCTATAGGGTTGCTATGAGTCGGAATCGACTGAACGACAACGAGTGTAGAATGGATAGGTCTCCACCAGCAATTAAAAGTAGAGAATACGAGAGAGAGAAAAGTTAGAAACCATTTCAAGGTTTCCGGTTCAGGCAACTGGGGGTGGTGGTGGAGATTATCACTGAGCAAGATAAGGAATGCTGGAAGAAGAACTCCAGTGTGGCAATGAGAAAAAAAAGGTGAGTCTGGTTCGGGGAAAGGTTGAGTTTGAGATCTGTGAGACACGTGGTGAAGATGTCCAGAAGGCAATAGGAAATACTGGACCCTTTGAGAGAGATCTGGGTGATGGATTTGAGAATATGCAGAGGAAAGATGGTAGATATGGAAGCCCAGGAAACACCAACAGAAAGAGAAGCAGTCCATAAAAACGGGAGGAAGGAAAGGAAGTTTTGAAAAGAAATTTTTTTTAGATATTTAGATTTTTAATTTTTTAATATTACAGACCATGCTAAGATAAACATTCATGTTTGTCTTAGTTATCTAGTGCTGTTATAACAGAAATGCCACAAGTGGATGGCTTCAACAAAGAGAAGCTTATTTCCTCACAGCAAAGTAAGCTAAAAGTCCAAATTCAGGGCGTCAGCTCCAGGGGAAGGCTTTCTCTCTCTGTCAGCCTTCTCATCGATCTTCCCCTGGACTAGGAGCTTCTCTGTGCAGGGACCCCGGGGACGCGCTCCACTCCTGGCACTGCTTCCTTGTGGTATGAGGTCCCCGGTCTCTCTGCCAGCTTCTCTCTTTTATATCTAAAGAGATAAACTCAAGACACAATCCAATCTTGCAGATTGAGTCCTGCCTCACTAATACAACTGCTGCTCATCCTCCCTCATTAACATCATAGAGGCAGGATTTACAACACATAGGAAAATCACACAATACGGGGAATCCTGGCCCAGCCAAATTGATACACACATTTTTGGGGGGACATAGTTCAATCCATGGCAATGTTCATAAATCTTTACAAATATCCACAATGATTTCCTTAGCATAAACTTCCAGAGATAGACTTGTTAGATTAGAAGGTAAACACGTTTTTTTGTGTGTGTGTCATTTAAACCCTTTAGTGTAGAATTAAGTAATATTAATTACCATGTTGTGCTACCATTATGACTATCCATTTCCAGAAGTTTTACATCACCCCAAATAGAAACTCAGTACACATTAAGAAATAACTCCCATTCCCTCCCTGCCCCTAGCCCTTTGTAACCACTAATAAAATTTTGTCTCTATGCATTTGTTTATCCTGGGTACTTCATCTAAATGGAGAATTTTTAAATCATGGGTGGAGGCTTCCTCAGTAAGGCAAGGTGCCAAGATACTCACAAGGAAAGTGACCTGCCAGCACTTGACCCTGTTCATCTGGAAAATGACATCCTGGGTCTGGTCATCAGGCAGGGTTATGTGGCAGCTGATTTCATTATTGCCGACAGAAACAACAGCCAGACAGCCTGGTTCTGGATATTCACAGGTACAGGGATCCAGCTGCAAGTATCCATAGTGCTGTACCTCTCGAGACAGCTCCAAAAACTGCAACCAAAAATGGGAGTGGGGGGGCAAAAGACCATTCGAAGCAGATGAAAACCGCATGTCAGAAACTATTACCATTCTACAAGAACACATAGAATTCAGGCTCAGTGAGAGCACCTTTTTCTTCTGGATGATTCGAATGAAGACAATGCCCCTGTGCTCTCTGACAATAAGCCCTGGGGAAGTTCATGGTGTATTTGGCCAGGCCAGGGACATTTCTGCCTCATTCACCGTTGTGTCTCTGCACTTGTGACACTGCTTTGGTATAGAGTGGGAAGAAAAATATTTGATGAGTGAATGAAGAATGAGAAAAGAGTGGAGTGAATAAAGTGAATGAATAGACGTGGTTCCATCTCAGCAGATTAGAACACAGCAAAATAAACAAGAGGTGCACATTTAAAATGCCACCTTTTGGACCACATGAGCCACAGCCGCCATCAGCCTGAGATTAGACAAACTAGATGGTGCCAAGCTATGACTACTGACAACTCTGACCAGGATCACAATAAAAGGTCCAGAACAGAGTGGGAGAAAAATGTAGAACAAAATTCAAATTCATAAAAAAGACCAGACTTACTGGTCTGATAGAGACTGTGGAACCCCCAAGACTATGACCCTTAGATACCCTTCAGACTTGGAACTGAACCCACTCTCGGAGATCACCTCTCAGCCAAACAGTAGACGGGCCTATAAAGTGAACAATAACACCTGTGAGGAATGTGCATCTCAGAACAATCAACCATACAAGACCAAAAGGGCAGCATTTCTCCAAAAGCAAAGTTCAGAAGGCAGGAAGGGGCATGAAAACTGGGCACACTGAAACAGGAAACTCAGGGAGGAAGGGACGAGAGTGCTGGCACATTGAGGTTGCAACCAATGTCATCAAACAAGCTGTGTATAAATTATTAAACTAATCTTCCTGTAAACTTTCACCTAAACCACAATAAAATGTTAAAAAAATTTTTTTTTTTTAATAAAATGCTGCCTTTTAAAAAACAAAGCTGAGGGAAGTATGTAGGAGGAAATCATCTAATTTATACAGGCTGCTTTAGATGATGGTGGTACTAATTGTCCGAGAAAGAGACTTTGGAAATAGCAATGAAATGAAGGTATGAGTAGGTCTGCTTTCTAAGGAGAGTTCCAGACAACTGAAGAGTGCCAAGGGGACACTTTTCATGTTATTGCTAAAGGTTAGCTTTTTCTCTCTGCTTCTGAAGTGACCTAAGAACAGAGGACAGCTGCCGTTTGCACCTGTTGTCCCAGCATCCTATCCAGGACCTTTTGTGTTTAACAAAGTATTGTTATTAATAATTACATTTAAATGAGCCAACATTGGTTTGGCGACCTCCACTTCGTTCCTCCAGCTTCCATGATGGTCCTGCCTAGTGGGTGTGAGACGCATGTGAAGAGAACAGAGTTCTCACTTTTTTTTTTCAGAGTTCTCACTTTGTTGTTGTTGGGTGCTGTAAAGATGGTTCTGATTCATGTCAACCATGGTTAAACCTAAAAGAAGTCCACTGAGTGACAACCTGGCTCTTTTCAGATCCTTTCCAGTCCTTACACCTCCCTTTCAAGGACTACATGAAGTAAGTATTCGCTGATAAAACAAAATGCATTGAGAATAACCAGCAAAGGACAGCTGCCTCCTCAGGTCTCATGCTGGCAGAAGTATTTGAGGCTGTCATCCCTGCCAGGCACATACATGTTGTACCAGCTCCTTGTGCTGGGGCCCATGCTTCAGCTTCGGCGACACATTAAGCTGCCAGACCTCCAGTTGGGTCATTGGGAAACATCAGAAATTATAGGTCATGCGTACCTGATAAAAGGAGCCCTGGTAGCGCAACAGTTAAGCACTTGGCCACTAACCAGAAGGTTGGTAGTTTGAACCCACCCAACATATCTGTGGGAGAAAGAACTGGTAACCTACTCCCATAAAGATTACAGCCTAGAAAACCCTATGAGGCAGTTCTACTCTGTCACATGGGGTCACTATGAGTCAAAATTGACTCAACAGCACCCAACAACAACAACCTGATATATATATGGGGAGGGGGGTGGACAAAGGGCTGAGTAATCTTCCCATAGAGCATGTAAAGAGTACTCTAATGCTTTTGCTACAATAGTTTTGTATTTATCACACAGTGTGCATCTATAAAAATTACTGTGTTCTTTCACAACACTAAAAAGTTTTGAAATACACTCTTTTGGCTGCAAAGAGCTAAAAGAAATGAAAATGTTTGTTTAATTAAAAATTAAATTCCATTTCTCAAGAAAATTGGTGATGAGGGGGGCGGGGCCAAGATGGCGGAGTAGTCAGATGCTTCCAGTGGACCCTCTTACAACAAAAACCTGAAAAAACAAGTGATTCCATTATATATGACAATCTGGGATCCCTGAACATCAAAAGCAAAGTTGAGGAGCCAGGCTGAGTGGCAGCGGGAGGGAGAGACAGTTCGGAAGAAGTGAGGAGGTACCAAACCTGACCCGGTGAGAGCCTGAGCCCTCAGGGGTGAGCAGTGAGGCAGGCAAGCATCGGTGCTCGGGAGGTGTATTCCGCACAGGGAGAGACCCAGCCACTGAGTCTACTCAGCCACACAGAACCAGTGAGAAGCAGCTCCTGATCGCTGAAAGGTAAGTATTTGCGTCCGGCCTACCGTGCAGATGAAAAACACCCCCCTAGGGGAGAAACCTCTCTCCCATTTACCTCACCACTCCCTGCTCTGCACAGGGTCCCAGACTGGCTTCAGCAATTGCCGAGTCCCCTGGGCCGGAAGTAGGATCTGTCACATGCCCTGAGCCATTCTCCCAGCCTTGGAGAGTGAACAAATTAACAAATGGGAAAAAATAAACTGCTGCCCCCCCTAAGCCAGGGCAGGCATAGCTCCTTTGACTAGACACAGGCATAAGGGAACCATGGACTTTGAGTGCCTTCCCCCTGCATAGACTTGTGTGTGCCCATTTCAACAGTATAGGCCCTTATTACTGCAGTACAACAGGGTATATACCTGAAGTCTAACTTCAACTGTTTCAGCTGTGAAGTGGCAGGTTCGTAACATTTGACTCTGCTCTGCCTGTTAAGTGGGGACTTCACCTACCCACATCAGGGGCCTGAGGACTGGTGCCTAAACCCACGCAACCTAGCCACCTGCAATAGGGGCCCAAGAATAAGAGGTGCCCCACAGTCCTTACAGCCAACAGTACTGGGTGCTCATAGTCCGGCTGTAAAACCCACCCACCTATGCGCTCTAGGGAACAGGGACACGCTTTCCTCCTGGACACTCAGGGGCGGCCGTCAGCCCCCTGCCTTGCTCATAGTGTGTCCCCCTGCCAGATGCCTGTGCCTACAACAATCATCCATGCTTGTCTAGGACTGCAGGTGAGAGTCTGCACTACACACATGGTGGCTATCTACATGGGCACCTGAGCTAAAGCCATACAGGAGGAGTGGGTGGGCTCCTGAGCCCACATATCTAGTAATGGATCTAACCACCTGGTGACAGGACATTAGAGCTTCAAAGGGGCCAATAATCAAACTAGCTCACACAAGCAGCCTATCTGGGCATATCAAAACAAAACAAGAAGCTAGGACACAGTAAGCAAACATAAAATAAATAAAACAACTTATTGATGGCTCTGAGACAAGAGTCAATATCAAATCACATAAAGAGGCAGTCCATAATAGCTTCAGCAAGCTTCCAAAATAAAGAATCAAGAAATTTTCCAGAGGAGGAAAATTTCTTGGAATTACCGGAGGCAGAATACAAAAGATTAATATACAGAACTCTTTTAAGAGATTAGGAAGGAAATTAATCAAAATGCAGAATGTGCAATAGAGAAAATTAAAAAGATTAAAGAAGAGCATAATGACGAATTTAACAGGCTGCAAGAATCCATAGAGACAGCAATCAGAAATCCAGAAGATTAACAATAAAATGTCAGAATTAGACAACTCAATAGAAAGTCATAGGAGTAGAATTGAGGCAATGGAAGTCAGAATTAGTGACACTGAAGATAAAGCACTTGACACCAACTTATCTGGGGAAAAATCAGATAAAAGGATTAAAAAAAATGAAGAAACCCTAAGAATTATGTGGGACTCTATCAAGAGGAATAACCTACGAGTGACTGGAGTACCAGAACATGGGGGGATAATAGAAAATACAGAGAGAATTGTTGAAGATTTGTTGGCAGAAAACTTCCCTGATATCGTGAAAGATGACAAGATATCTATCCAAGATGCTCTTTGAATCCCACATAAGGTAGATCCCAAAAGAAAGTCACCAAGACATATTATGATCAAACTTGCCAAAACCAAATATAAAGAGAGAATTTTAAGAATGGCTAGGGGATAAACAAAAAGTCATCTACAAGGGAGAGTCAATCAGAATAAGCTTGGGCTACTCAGCAGAAACCATGCAGGCAAGAAGGCAATGGGATGACATATATAAAGCCTTGTAGGAAAAAAACTGCCAGCCAAGAATTCTATATCCAGCAAAAGTGTCTCTCAAATATGATGGCAAAATTAGGGCATTTCCAGATAAACAGAAGTTTAGGGAATTTGCAAAGACCAAACTAAAATTACAAGAAATACTAACGGGAGTCCTCTGGTTAGAAAATCAATAACATCACATAACAACCCAAGAGTAGAACACAGAACAGAGCAACCAGATATCAACCCCGATAGGGGAGTCACAAAAATAAATCAAAGCTAAAACACTGAAAATAAGGAAACAGACGTCAATATGTAAAAGATAACAACATTAAAACAAAAAAAGAGAGACTTAAAAAACGTAGACGTAGATTTTTCATATGGAGTGGATGTGAAGGCGATATAAAGAAATAAAAGACTGGTATAAACTTAGAAAAATAGAGGTAAATGTTAAGGTAACCACCAAGGAAACTAACAATCCTGCAAGTCAAAATAAAAAACAAAAAAAAATATAAAGACTCAGCAAACACACAATCAACAACAATGAAAAAGATGAAAAGAAAATATATAA